GAAAATTGTTGCAAAGAAACCAACCCTCTCATCTCCACCGAATTCACCAAAGTTTGTATCAACAACAACATGAAATGAATTCGTGTGTTTGATGTTTGTTTGCACACGCACATTGGAGAAAGCGACGGGGTGAGATTTTCGTCGCTGTCGATTTTTCGAAATGGTGCGATTTTACGGAAAAGCTTAAGTGAAAAACCGCTTCGAAATTGGAGATGAATCATTGCCATTTTCAATATCACAATCGCAAACACACACACACACACACACACACACACGCACACACGCACACACAGTAGTCATGCTGAGAATGTTTTATTCTTTCTCACTTTGTGCTTTTTCCCGCTTTCGCTCTCTCTCTCTCTCTTTCCCGGTGCCGCTCATTTTTTTTCTAAGCATCTCTTTTTCTTACTTGTACCTTCTCTTCTTCTCGGTACTATTCCGAATATGAATATGAACGCCTCTCTTTCTCCGTGCATTTGAAAATACCGTTCATGGCACTGCCATTTACCTCGATTTAAACGGAAAAGTAGCTGAGCGCACCAGCAGCAGCACCATTAGCAACACCGTATGTATGGCAGTCTCAATTCGCTTTGATGCCGCTTATTGCTTCTATTATTTCTATTGTAACACAGCTCAGTGGGTGAAAAGTGTTTAATAAACTGTTTTCATCAACTGTTTGCGCGCAGCAACACATTGACTTCATATTTTTCTTGACTTACTTAAATTGTTAACTTTCATTTTATTCGTACATCGCGATTTTCTTTCATTTTCCTCGTGGCTGCGCGTTTCTTTTTTTCTCGTTCGGTACACGCAAATAATAATTTTCCGAACGATAAAAACAAAAACAAAACAAAACGGACGAAAGATAAACGAAATTCCCCAAAGAAAATTGCGTAAGAAATTTTTCGGAAAATTCGAACCGTGTACGATGGCTGAGCCGAAGTCATTCTGATTTTTATAAACAACAACCGAATCACAATATTTTGGTGCGTTCCAACGGCTGCAATGATGAGTTTCATAAATCTGCTATGTCTTTCGGTGATTTCACAAATCTGTTATAACCAGAGATTGCATATTTGCTGCTGAGTAGACCTGAGCTGAGCTGAATTTGCTAACTCAGGCGCCTGAATCGTTATTTTAACGCATTCACAGTACAAAATTCATATTCCCAGCCAGAT